CCACCATGCCCAGCAATTTTTCTTTGTTCTTTCTGTAGAGACACAATTGCTATGTTGCCTAGGCTAGTCTCAAACTTCTGGATTCAAACAATCCTCTCACCTCTGTTTCTGAAAGTGCTGGAATTATAGGAGTGAACCACTGCACTGGCCTAAGAATTATTAATGGTATAATTTTAATGATGAAACTTCAAGATGAATATACAGTGTTGAACAGTTTTCTACTTTAACCTCTTCTAATTGCTTAACATTGATTAGTGTAAAACTAAAATGATTGGAAGAAGCATAGATAAAAATGCATTCTAGAGGGTAATACTTTGAATATAAATGTTCTGAATACATTCTCCAATTTTTATGCATTGGAAACTTAATTCTAATTGTAACAGTATTAAGAAGTGGGGTCTTTAAGACATAATTAGATCATAGGGGTCTGCTCTCATGAATGGATAATGATGCCATTATCTCAGTGTAAATTCATTATCATGGGTGTGTGTTCCTAATAAAAGGGTAAGTTTGGCTCTTCTCTCTCTCCCTCAATCTCCTAGGTTTAACAAAATAAATAAATAAGAAGTCAAACTGTGCCCAATGCACTATTAACCTATTTAACGTGCATTTCTTCACTCTATAAAAAATGAAGGCACCGAAAAAAATTACTAATTTTATACCCAAAATGTTGGTAAGATTTTCCTAATTTGTGGATAATTTTCTAGTAATTCAATTGAGATTAATCATTTTCTGTTTGTGAGAATGTTACTAGAAAAGGATAACAATGATTTTTTAAAATATTTTTATACTAAGTGAATTATCACAGAAACAAAAAACAGAATATCACACATTCTCATTCAAAATCACACCCTGATCACTGGTCAGGGTGAACACAAAGATGGGAACAACAGATGCTGGACATTGGTAAGGGAGGTGGGAAGGAGGAGGGAAAAGAAACACACACCTACACACTGCATGCCAGGTCTAGTCTCGGGGGGGAGAGAGAATCTGTCAGAAGTCCAAACCTCACCTGCATGCAATTTACTTATGTAGAAACTCCACATATGTACCCCACAGCTCTAAATTTAAAATAAATTTTTTAAATATTGAAAATAAAAAAATCAGTTATTAGTGGCATAGTGCCAAGCTCTGATAGCACCAATCATTATCAATGGCTTTCAAGTAAGTGGAGGAAGTTTTTATGTCATGCATATTTCTTTTAAACTATGTAGGTAATTCTCAGGAAGATGGTGGCAGAGCCAATCGAACTGAGTCCCAGTGTGAGCGAGTGGGTATATGGAAAATTTTGCATTTGTGTTGGTAAGTGAGTGTGTGACTGGCTGACTGAGTAGGGGCTTGGAAGCAAGTGGCCTGGGCTCTCCTGGTGAAGCTGCTGGTGCCGCTGCTGTTCTGCTTCATCCCTAGTGCTTCCCTGGATGCAGAAGCTGAGTGCCATTTTTGAAAAATCAACAAAGCCCTTCTTGAGAAGAAGCTGCTGGGGGATACTGCCTGCTCCAGACTCTGCCTTACCACTGCAGCACCTGGCCACACTCTGGCAGCAAGGGCTGCAGAGGGAGCGCAGCAAGGGAGACCAGAGACAGAAACCCACTGGAGAAGATGAAACAGGCACTCTGCCACCATCTTGAAAACTGGGGAGGAAAGTGATTCAGCTTGCTCACCATGGAGCACCAGACTCAACCCAATCTCTGTGACTGGTGGATTAACTACTCAGGAGTTGATCAAGACCCAGAAGATATACCCTGAAAGCACAAACTCCAGAGGAACAGGATGAGTGCTGAGTTTCAGGTGCCTCACCCCCTACCCTGATTCAGACTTGAGACAAAGGGTGTGGCCAGAAAAAGAGAAGGAAAACCTCCAAAGAGATCCTCTGAACTTCAGACCCACATAGCTGGGGCATGATTGAGAGGGATAAACCCAGGTGGAGCCTGGATGTTAGCCACATTAGGAGAACTCCACTCCAGGATAAGCCTAGCTGGGGCATCCCCGGCCAATGCTTGTGGAAGAGACAATACCATATCTTTCCAACAGAGGGGATCTCCTTGACCATACTAGAGTGGAAGGGGAGGACTGAAGCCACACTCATTCCTACTGCACCTTCTTCCTTCCCTGGGCCAGACACTGGGGAGATTGTGAATGAGGCCGAAGCTCTGTAGGAGCTAGCAGAGGAGCAGCAGAGAGGAACAGCTACAGAACCTGGCATAAGAGGGCAGGTTTTTTTTTGTTATTTGTTTTTTAATTTTTTATATTTTTCTTTGTATATGAATGTATATGTGAGGGTTCGACCTGCATCTCCCCACCCATTATTTTTCTTTTTCCTTTATTCTTATTTTTCTTTCTTTCTTCTCTTTCTTTTAAATTTTCTGTTTATGTGTGTACAAAAAGGATTGGGTGTTCATCTTTCAGCTATTTATGTTTTTCTTTTTGCTTTTCTGTTCTTTTTTCAGTTTAATGTTTGTGTGAATATATATGTGAGGGTTCTATTTGAATTCCTTTTTTCTTTTCTTTTCTTCTTTATTTTCCTCTTTTTATTCCCATTTCATTTTGGGTTGGGCATGTGTCTGTGTGTTTGATTTTTCATTTTTTGTTGTTTGTTTCATTTTACTTTGTTGTTATTCCAGTTACTTTTGATGTGTGTGTGTGTGTGTGTGTGTGTGTGTGTGTGTGTGTGTGTGTTTAATTTTTTTTGCTTTGGTTTCTGCTCTGTTGTTCTGTGTTTTATTAATTTTTTAAAAAAACTTTTCTCCATGTTATTTCATTCTGCTTTTCTCAGTTCTCCTCATTGGTATTATTGTACCTTGGACTCGGGGAGTACACTACACACATGTACCCATTGCATCCTCATATACAGTGGTTGTGGGGAGTGAGTCTCAGGGAATCCATACCACAGTCAGTCAACATTGTGATTTGCAAGTAGTTTATGAATCTTAGTTCCCCATCCTCCATATTATTTGACTCTCAAAACTTCAAGAGATAGCAAAACTTTCCACCTACAGCCCTGATCAGGGAAGAACAAAGAGCTGAGCAAACTTCAGAAGTGGAAACTTTTCTTACTGCCACTGAATAATGAAATTAAAGAGACAAGACAGAGATCTGTCACAAATGAGGAAAAATCAGTGGAAGAACACAGGTAATTTCCAGTGTTACAAAGATAAAATATCTGAAAAATCGGACCTCATAGCTAAACAATAGAAGTGACCAGTGACTGGCCACAGAATAAACAAGGATTAGGAAACAGATAGAAAGAGTAAATAAGACTCAAAAAAGACAAGATGCAACCATGAAAGAACTTAAAACAGAGATTTTGACCATAAAAAATTTCATCCAGGAAATAAATAACAAGCACGGAAAGCAGAATAAATCAAGCAGAAGAAAGAATCTCAGACCTTGAAGACTAAAACATGGAATTAGCCTGATCTATAAAACATAGAATGAAAACTCAGAAAGAAAGAACAAAGCTTCCAAGAGATGTGTGATTATATCAAGAGCCCAAACATATGCCTGATGGGTATCCCAGAAGAAGGAAAAGATATGGAGAACACCTTGGAGCAAGTATTCTAGGAGGCTACCCAAGAAGATTTTCCTCATCTTACCAGAAATGTGACCATCCAAACACAAAAGTTAGAGAACCCCTCAAGATATCAAATGAGAAGACAAACCTCTAGACATATAGCAATTCACCTACACAATGTAGCACAAAAGAAAAAAACCCTAAGGGCAGCAAGAAAGAAAGTTTAGACTACCTACTGGGGAAAACCAATCAGAATAGCAGCAGACCTATCAGCAGAATCACTACAAGCTGGAAGGAATTTGAGTTAAATGTTCAAAGTCCTCAAAGATATACAATTTCAAACAAGAATTTTCTACCCAGCCAAGCTCAGCTTCATCAGTGATGGATAGTTAAATTGTTTCCCAGACATCCAATCCCTAGGATAGATGTGGCTTCCATACCAGCTCTATAGGAGATGCTTAAAAGGTACTAAGCACAGAAAGAAAAAAAAGAAAAAAAGAAAAACAAAAAAGAATAACCATGCTCTTCCCAAGAGAACGGCGGGGATGAACAATCACATTTCAATAATCAGTCTGAAAGTGAATGAACTAAATGCACCACTTAAAGGACACAGAATGACAAACTGGATAAAAACCATGACCCAATAATATCAGGAAACTCATCTCATCATGAGGCATGCACACAAACTCAAAGTTAGAGGATAAAAAACAAGTTTCCAGGCAAATGGATCACAAAAGAAGGCAGCAGTCACAATCTTAATATCAGACAAAACAATTTTTAAGCTTTCAAAAATTAAAAAAAGATATGGAAGGAAACCACAAAATGATAAAAAGTTCAATCTATCAAGAATAATTATTTATCCTAAACATTTTGTAGGCAACTTCAGCAACAAAGGCATGCATGTCCTTGGATTGTTTCTGAGAAATGTACCCTGGGCTCCAACTCAACCTCTCAGCTGCCAGAGATCTAAGTGACAAAGGATCTCCAAAGTATACATAGATGTTTCCAAAATTTTCAGAGGGGATCCTTCTGGCTTTCTTTCTTTTTTTTTTTAAGTTGGAGTCTCATTCTGTCGCCCAGACTGGAGTGCAGTGGCTGCTCCCAGCCACCGCTGCCTCGACCTGCTGGGCTCTGGCAATCCTTCCGCCTCAGCCTTCCAAGTAGCCAGAACTACAGGCGTGCACTATCACACCCGGCTGATTTTTTGATTTATTGTAGAGATGAGGTCTCGCTGCCCAGGCGGGTCTCGAACCTGCGGGCTCAGTCAATTCACTCACCTCAGCCTTCCAAAGGTGGGGGATTACAGGGTAAGCCACTGACCCTGGCCCTTCTGGCCTTCAACAACCCAATATAGATTCTTTTGGCTTAGGAACCCCTAGAAGTTCATATACATAAAGAGTTTCTTCCAATATTTTATCATTGCTAATGCTAATTGGAACAAAGTATGTATCAAAAACTTCTCTTTTAAAGAATGGCTCCATCACAGTATTCAGAAGACCAAATTTAGGAGGCAATGTCTAGGCAGTGCTGCTTCTTGTGCTTTAGGGGAAAAATTCAAAAATTCACTAACCATTTTCATCCCCAGGAAGTCCATTTCTGCTGCTATAACTGGCACAGGAAAATCATAGTTGTACAAAAGAAAAGACAATATCAGAAAGTCAACGTAACTTCGATGACTAGGCAGCAGAACAACAGGATGTTCTTGAATGGCTTGTTGTAGTTTCTGAATACCTTCTTCATTTAGGCACACCTTTGAAAAAATTTGTTTAAATATTTTGCTTAGGGTGAAGGCAAAAAACCGAATGGTTCCCAGATGCAGTTTGTGACTCATTTCATCCAAGATCTCACTAACTTTCTCTCGGAGGGCATCAGCAGACTGAAGGGATTCTTTGGAAAGCTGTTTAATAACATAATTAATCTCTTCAGAATTCAGAGCACTACATTTAATATCAATCTGCTTACTTGGAATTATTCCCTTATAGACAAGAGGTATGTAGCATTTCATTGCAAATTTCAAGTCACTGGCATGCCTCCTCTCTTCTAAGATATCTTCAAACACATCCCACTTTTTGAGCTCCTTTGAGTAGAGGAGCACCACAGCACCAGGACTGGCAGAGCCGACAGTGAAACAGGAGTTGGATGAGCTGGAAGGATCCATGGTGTGGCTGCCATTCCAGGTGGAGCCTGGGACTCTTTCCTAGGTGGTGGTCTTGCTGCTGGGGGCGGTTCTTTCACATAGGACTGCCCAACCTCACTTGGGGTGGCGGCATCCCCTGCAGCCATTACAGAGGATCCTGAGTGCCACCATCTCAGCCCGAGCACCAGCATTTATAAAGCAACTACTAAGTAAACTAAAAAAATATATTGACTCTAACACTATTTTATCTGGGGCCTTAAATACCCCACTAACAACCCTAGATAGAAAAAAAACATCAGCAGAGTGATCTAGAACCTCAACTTGACACTCAACCAAATGGAGTTAATAGATACCTACAGAACACTCAATCCAACAACTACAGAATACACACTTTACTCATCACCACATGGAATGTATTCCAAGATTGATCACAACCTCAGCCATAAATCAAGCATAAACAAATTTCATAAAATCAAAATACTGCCATGCACCTTTTCAGACCATAGTGGAATAGAAACAAATATCAGCATCAGCAAAATTCCCCCCAAATCCACAAAGACATGAACACTAAGCAGCATGATGCTGAATAATTATGGAGTCAGCATAGAAATCAAAACCAAAATTTTAAAATTCCTGGAAACAAATGAAAACAAAATAAATCCTACCAAAACCTCTGGGATGTCATGGAGCAGTTCTAAGAGGGGAAATTATATCTCTACAAGGGCACATCAAGAAAATGGAAAGAAAGCAAGTTAGCAGCCTAACAGATCACCTAAGGGAGCTGGAAGGACAAGACTGCCAAAACCCTAACTTTAGAAAAAGAATCCATATCACCAAGTAAAAACCTAAATATGGGACATAGAAGACATAAATATCATATAAAAAAATCAACAAAACTAAAAGCTGATTCTTTGAAAGAATAAAAAAGATTGATGGATGCCTAGCCAGAATGACCAAGAAAAAGAGAGAAAAAGCTCAAATAAACACAATCAGAAATGCAAAAGATCAAATCACAACTGACCTTAAAGAAATCAAAAGATTATCAGAGATTACAATGCACACCTGTATGGAAACAAACTTGATAACCTAAATGAAATGGAGGACTTTCTGACATCACACAAGCTCCTAAGGTTGAAACAAGAAGTCATAGAGGCAGTAAATAGAACAATAACAAACCAGAAAATTGACTGTCATTTGAAAACTACCTACAAAGAAAAAAAAAAAAAAAATACACACACACAAAAATACCTGGACAAGACAGCTTTCCAGTGGAATTCTACAAAATGTAGAAAGATTAGCTGGCATCAATCCTATTGGAAGTATTTCAGGCAATTGAGAAAGATGGAATTCTCCCCAAATCATTTTACAAAGCTAACAACACACTGATATCCAAATTGGCAAAAATCCAACAAAAAAAAAGAGAACTGAAGGCAAATATCCCTAACTAACATAGATGCAAAAATTCTTCACAAGATTCTACCAAATCAGATACAACAACACATCTCAAAAGTTATCCACCGTGACCAAGTAGGCTTCATCCCCAAGATGCAGGGCTGTTTCAGCATCTACAAGAACATAAATGTAATTGAATACATCAACTGATGTAAAAACAAGAACCACATGATTACATCATTGGTTGGAGAAAAAGGTTTTGATAAAATTCAGCATCCCTTCTGGAAAAAACTCTCTAACTCCCAGGCATAGAAGGAACATACCTCAAAATAGCAAGTACCATCTACAGTAAACACAGCCAGCATATGGCTAAGCAGACAGGAACTGGAAACGTTTCCCCTGAAAACCAAAACAAAACTAGGCTGCCCATTCTCACCTCTCTTGTTCAACATTGTGTTGGATGTCTTAGCTAGAGCAATTAGACAAGAGAAGGAAATCAGGGGAATCCAAATAGGAAAAGAGGAAGTTAAGTTATCCCTCTTAACTGACAATATGATCCTATATCTCAAACACCTAAGAGAATCTGTCAACAACCTGTTTTCACTGATAAAGGACTTTGGCAAAGTCTCAGGGTACAAAATAAATGTGCAAAAGACAGTTGCATTCTTATACACCAACAACAAGCAGACAGAGAACCAAATAAAAAGCACAGTCTCATTCAAAATAGGTAAATAAATAAATAGATAAATGACTAAATAAATAAATAAATACATAAATGCATTGGGAAAATGTTAACCAGAGAAGTGAAAGAACTTTACAATGAAAACTAGAAAACACTGCTCAAAGAAATCCAAGAAGACACAAACAAATGGAAAAATATTCCATGCTCATGGATAGGAAGAATCAACATTGTTATGATGTTTATCCTACCAAAGCCAATTTACAGATTCAACATAATACCTATTAAATTGCCAACATCATTCTTTTCAGACCTGGAAATGACAATATAGAAATTCATATGGAAATGTAAATGACCATGAATAGCCAAAACAATACTTAGCACAAGAAACAAAGCAGATGGTAACACACTTCCAGACTTTAAACTTTACTATAAGGCAACAATAATCCAAACAACCTGGTATTGGTGCAAAGATAGGTATATAGACCAATGGAATAGGGTAGAGATTCTGGAAGCAAAACCTCAATTTTTCAACCAAATCATCTTTGACAAAGTCTCCAACAACAACCACTGGGGAGAGGAGTACCTATTCAGTAAATGGTGCTGGGAAAACTGACTGACCACATGCAGAAGATTGAAACAGGACCCCTACCTATCACCATACACAAAAAACAACTCTCAATGGATCCAAGACCTAAACAACCTAAACATAAATCCTCAAACTATAAGAACCTTAGAAAAATGCAGGAGAAACCCTTATGGAAATTGGAACTGGCAACCAATTCCTTCTCCAAACCCCAAGTGCCCATGCCATAAGGGATAAAAAAGACAAGTGGAACCTCATCAAACTGAAAAGCTACTGTAAAGTAAAAAAAACCATCAAGAGAGTGGGAAGACAGCCCACAGAATGAGAAAAAATATTTGTCAACTCTATATCTGACAGAATCCTAACATCCAGGATCTATAAGGAACTCAAATGTGCTGTAAGGCAAAAAACCAAATAGCCCTATTAAAAAGTGGGCAAAATACATGAACAGACACTTTTCCAAATAAGATATATGGGTGGCCAACAGACACAGGAAAAAGTGCTCAGTCTCAGCAATCATCAGCAAAGTACATATCAAAACCTCACTGAGATCCCACTTAACCTTAGTAAGAATAGCCATCATTAATAAACCAAACAACAACAGATGCTAGTGAGGATGCCCAGAAAAAGGAATGCTTCTACACTGCTGGTGGGAATGCAAACTAGTGCAACTTCTTTCGAAAAGAATGTGGTGATTTCTAAAAGAACTAGACATTGACATTCCATATGACCAAGCAATACTCCTGCTGGGAATATACCCAGAGGAACTCAAGTCATTCTACAAAAAAGATACCTGCACACTCTGTTTATTACAGCATTATTCACAATAGAAAAAACCTGAAACCAATCATGCTGCCCATTGAAACTGGGCTGGATTAAAAAAATGGTACATATACACAATGGAATATTATGCAGCCATAAAGAAGGACAAACATACAGGCTTCACAGCAACTTGGACGGATTTAGAGTTTATCATAGTCAGTGATCTATCAAAGAAACAAAGAAGAGAGTACCACATTTTCTCACTCATAAGCAGACCCTGAACATTTACCATAATACTATAAGAAAGGGACTGGCAGTAGTGGGATACTACCAGGGTGGGGGACGGGACACAACATCAATAAGGGTACCTGGTCTTAAACCAGGCAAAGTGGGGACCAAATTTACCTGTGCGAAGACAACTTGTATGCTTAATCCTGAACTGTATCCCACATCTTTAAAATAGAATTAAATTTTTTTAAAAAATGCAGATTTTCTCATATGTAGTGAGATATTTGAAATAATATTTTGGATATATCAAGTTAATTAATGATATTGTTAATTTCAAAAAAAGTAAATAAACTGTGTAGATGTTATGTTTGATATGTCTGTCTGCTAAATGTAAGGTTTGTATTAGGGACTTCCAAAATATTTGCTAACTAAATTTTACAGTTAAAAAATACTTTTATTTTATTTACTATCCTAACTTACTTTTTATGAAACGTAGAAGTTTAGCAAATTAATTAGAGAATAAAATGAGACAAAAGTTAACGATATATTGATGATGTTTTGAAAAACAATATCAAATGGAAACCAAACAAGAGGGTTTTTTGAAAGAACCAGGACTTTAAAATTGTAACATTGTTCAAATTTAAAATTCATATTTAAAATTAATATTTCAACCATATTTTATAATATCAGATCTCTCTCAATATATTACCATGTAGTGTTTGAGTTGAGTTTTACAATGGTAATTTGTCACCTTGTACCTCATTTCTGAAAAGTCTTGCAACAGCTATGCGTATTCAGATTATACACACAAAGACACACACACAAACACACACACATACATACATATACACAAGTTCAAGAAATAGGAAGATGCTGTACATTTCCATTGGGATGTAAAGATACTACATTATGGAGGTGCTTCTTTTCTTGTATCAATTTCCACTTTAGTGAATGGAATATGCAAATTGGAAACACAATTGTTTGTAAAATATAGAATTACTGTGCTATTTACACAATGCAATTAAAAAATTTTCAATCTTTCAAATATAAACTTATCTGTTAATATATAGATGTGTTAGATATATCAATTTTTTGTTACACACTAATATAAATATCCATGAACATGTTATTTTGATGTGCTTATTTTACTATGGTGGCTGAAATTACCATAACAACTCAACAATATAAGATTATAGAAATACATTATTAATTATTAAAAAATTATTAATAGAGAATACAAATAAACTTTTTTCTAATGGGGCTTTATTAAGAAGATTAAACAATATAGGTATTAACTTATTTTATATTTTAAAGCACTAATTTATCTAAAATGGCAATTAAAATTTATAACTCTTTAAAATCCTTTGCTGCCTTAATTTATTTTAAAAAAATTTTTTTACTGTTTTAGAAATTATACTCTAAAATTATTTATTAATTATTCAAAAAATAATGTCATCTGAATAAATTTGTAAGTAAAGCTTGCTATAAATTTATCCTATTTTTACCATATTTTATCAATGATATT